TTGTGAAAAAACTAGTGACTTATCTAAGCAATATACTTACTTTAAATGCCATTGATATCACAACAAAACAAAATCTATGCTCATGGAGTAGGATATCTGTCTGCGATATAATTTCCGTTAGCGATAATTAAATCTTCTTCAATACAGATAATATCTGATTTCAGAGTAAAATTGCTGATCGCGCCTAAATTATTTGAAAAGGTGGTAACTCTAGACTACTACTGCAAACTCTAATAAAAGTGCACATTTTTATAATTACTTGGTACAGCGTACATTAGAGATTCAATAACAATAAATACAAATTCAAAATTACCCTTGTTCTTTACGTTATATATTGAGGATTAAGTCTTCTGATAGTCATGTATCAATATTTTCAAAACCCTTGATATTCAAAATACAATAAGGAGTGTACCGGATATTGTGGTGTTACACGGTGTAACAGCACTGGAGAATATTGTTGGTATATTTATTCATGTGCTTTAGCAGCGCTATCAAGTCGTGTACAACGTAATATGAGCTCTTGTGGTTTATATTTACTCTGCATATGAATCAAAATATACATACGAGTATAATATGTATTTTATATACAAGATATAATTTAAGTCCATTAAAGGCTAAAATTCTTATATTTCAAATTAAACATATACTGTAGGTATATAAAATCATATGAAAGTCGCAAATATTTAATCTTCAATAAACTACACATCAGAAACATATTATATTTTACAAGACATTATATAAAATGAATAATGCCAATTTTCATTGCAAGAACAAATATCTAATAAAGGAGGAATAGAAATACTGTAAAATTATTCAAATCCCCCAATATAAAACAGCTGTATTATCTACAATGTTACGAGTATGCTTTGCGTATGTTGTTGTCACATTCTTTACCTTTGTTTATGTATAGTGGTTCCAATATATTTGTATCTAATTTACCTCCTTAATTTCATGTTTAGTCTTTAATTTCACTTCACTTATGATTTCACATAAGTGAAGTAAAATTTCTCCAATAAATTTAATTACATCCTTGTATCAAGTATCATTACCGGGAGTTTAGACTGGGAAACTTAACTTGTATTAAAAAGTTAGTTAAAACGGCTACTATTTCAACGATTATTATTTTTATTCGGAATGACAAGAGGAATAGAGTGACCATCGCATATAGTATATCATGTGACACCAAGATGACCAGACTCATATTCTGTAATACCGCTACCTAATTTGGACTCTACAATCGAAACAATTAAAATAGGTTGGTGGTTGAAATATGTGAGACTGAGGTACCTATGCCGACTATGTTTTACAGTTTACCTCTAGTGAAATTAAGTAAAAAATGAGAAAGAACATAATAGTAGTAATCTCATGCACATTCATAGCAAATGTTTTCATTAAAATTGGATGGATAGATTTATACAAACAAGACACATTGAACTGATTACAGATTTCCGATATATAGCTTAAAATATTAAAATTATATAATTTCAAAAAATCAGTTTAAAGATAAATGTATTTTCAAACTTCAATGCAGTAAATGTAAATGAATATTACCAGGTAAATAAATAAGAGCATCCGTAGTACAGGATTTATCCGTATAAATCACTATTGAAACAATGGCTGAAATAAAACCACTTCAATTATTTATTCCTCTTTTAACACATCCTATAAATTAATTCCTCCTTTTACACATCCTATGAATTATTTCCTACCTGTTTATTAAAGTTTACAGATCGAATTCATTTATATTTCAATAGTTGTAGAATTGGTTCCTCAGAGGTACCAGTCATATTACTTTTATTGTACACAGTCCCTATATTTAGAGGAGTAAGTATCTATTATCATTATCATGTATAGTAGTATTTATTTTTATGTAATAGTTACTACTTTTCAGTTTCAGACTGATCATAATAACTGATTGTCGTTACCGTGGTATGTTCACTGTAGGGTAGATATATTTTTGGCATATTTTTATTTTTACTACCTATTATGTTACACTACACTATTATGGATACACTCAATAAACTAACAAACAACTTCTTTTTAAGAATATATTTCTATTACAAATACACTTTGGATTAAACTGTTAAATGTATCTTCAAAGTGTATGTCATATTGTGTGTGTGTTCTAAATTGTATATATTGTGTCCATAATTTTAACAAATCATTCTATATCGAGTCGATATAAAATGTCAAAATTTAGTAAAAGTTTACACAATTATTAGAAAATGTATTCTGAACATATGTGACGTTCAGTCACACCGAACGACAATGATATTGAATTCCTTACAGGATCGCAATTTAAATATTGAAGCTCAGAACTAGAATTTATACCTAAGGAATAGCTTTAGTAATATGTAATATTTGTTTTATATAATTATGTACCTTTTCTAATGTGGTGACAGATTATTTATTTTCAAATGAATTTTTTACTTCTAAAATCTTATATATAAAATTCTCGTGTCACAGTTTTCGTTCCTATACTCCTCCGAAACGGCTTGACCGATTCTCATGAAATTTTGTGAGCGTATTGAATAGGTCTGAGAATCGGCTAACATCTATTTTTCATCCCCCTAAATGTTAGGGGTAGTCCACCCCTAATTATTTTATTTTTATTTTTATGGCAAAACAACTTTTGCCGGGACAGCTAGTATAAATATAATAATACTCTCTGTAATTTCATAAAGGCCACTCTGAATGTTTCTTGTTACTTTGATTAGATCACATTGTTGGATGGACCGAAAAAACTAAAGAAGAAATAAATAGGTATTCGAATACCTATTTATCTCTCATTCAGTTGTCTCATTGTTCATATCGGTATAAGCTATGAAAATTCCCACGTCAGTCATATTTTCAGAAATATTGTTGTAACTTCCTTTCTTTTCAGTCTCCCAACAAGGGTGTAGCCAATGCTATTAAGTAATAAGAGCGTCTGCATTGCCCTCGTACCCGAATCGCTATTTCTTTTAGTTTATTCTGTTTTGTAGTAGTTTTTGTTTGATTTCTTACCATTGTTTTATTTGTCCACCATTTTTTGCTTACTTAACATTTGTTACAAATAATGATTTGTGATTTCGGACTTATTTTTTTGTACATTATAACTACAGCATCTGGAGATGGCTCGAGCTACAATCCAAGTACTACTTTATTTTTGGAAAGAATGTATCTACAAATTAACTTCTAAGTCATTTTGTATCAAAATTATTACAAAATGCCATTAAATAATAATTACTACTTAATCCAATTGAAAATCCTTTAAAATATCTCCAATTTTGTAGGACAATTTAAATGTCATTGTAATAGCAGTGTTCAGAGTACTGTGCTTATAATTCTTGTTTTTTATATATTTTATTAAACTGAATATGGTAGTGATTAGAGAAATATATAATACTTGTATTTTTTTTATATTTTTTTATTTTATTAAGATATTATTATATCTCAGCATCCATAAGAGTACGTTAGTCAAAATTGCGGCAGCGTAAATGAACAACGGGTCCGTCGGTACCCGCAACGCTGTAACACTTGACGCTCGCAGTTATCGTGTGTTCCAGATAGCAATTAAGCTACCCGTCAATTACACAGGAGTAATTTTAGCGTTATATTATATAACATTTGTGTACCATACAAATTAAATGTTTGCAATACAAATGAAGATTAGAAAGATTTTTTATATTCTACAATTGTTAGTACTATTTTTCTTAGTGACGTAAATTAATGTCTCCCCCCTTCCGGGTATCTATAATTTTTCTGATACAAATATAATCTAAATAAGAATGTAATATGTTTTACGAAATTACATCAGTAATGTTTTAATATGAGCTCCCTTTCGGATTGCGGAAAATTCTACATTTAAAATCTATTGAATTGAATATTTTGCGAAACTTATTTCAAAGTCCCTATATTTATGTCATATTATTTTAAGGTTTTAACATTAAACATAACTATAAACAAACGATTGAAATAAAAAAGACAATTCTATCAATTGCACTTGTTTGTTTTTTAGCAGGCTCACCATAAAATTCAAAAACTCTAATCTTCTTTAATAGAATACTACATTATTATACCAAAATATATACAAAAAATTATAAATTATTATTATATAAATTATATATTATAATATGTAATATTTTTTTTTATATACAAATTTATATTCCAAAAAAGAAAAAGAAGAAGGACTCTAAATCTGTTCTAAGTCAGGAAGCTTTCTTTGTAGTATTCCTGCGAACGAAACCTATGTTCGTAATAGGAGGATGAGTGGTTTATTGTCATTTCTATCAATTTAATTTTTCATTTATCAATATTCAGTATGTTGCGGGACATTTGAACTTCTTATTATACAATAATTATTAATAGATTAATTTATTAATTAAAAATCAAAACCTAATCACTCACTATTAGTAGTCTGAAGATATAAAGAATTAAATACCAATTAATAAAAATTTTTAGAATTTTTCCACAAAAAATAGTAACGCATTCTGTCTATAACTGCATGTAAACTAATATTATAATAAACTTTTAAACTAATGAATTTATGCTACACTATATTTACATAAATTCTATCAAATTCTACATTATTTTTTATAGAAATATTATTATGTGATTCGTTTCACTAGAATAATAGCAGATGGAATTGATACTTTGTAACTTTAAAGTTAAACTTTTGAAACATCACAATATTAGTAATAAAAAGTACTAGTAATAAAATAAATATTATATTAAATACAAACTAGAATAAACATTAACTGTCAGTGAAAACCTTAAATATAATATTAAATACGTATTTGAAAAGTCACAAGTAAAATTTACAGTAGATCTGTTTAATTGTTTTTCAAAATTTAAAACTAATGTGACGTTTGGTTCCCTGATATGAATACAAAAACAAAAACAGAATTATTAAGTTGTTGTTTCTTCATTTTTAATAAGTAAATCGACAAGGGAAACTTTTACTATTTTCTGTTGAGAAATTGTGTTAAGTATTTTTTATAATTAAATAATCCACTTACTTTCTCATTCACTCGAAACAACAATCAAAGTGACACACCACAACCATGGGTTCAATATATTGTTTACATATAACGCTACACGATGTCATTCCATCACAAAAGTTCATTAAGTTCGTAACATACTTTTATAATAAACTAATGTGAATCATTGGTCAACTTTGTTAATTATTAGGTTGGGGTACGTGGGAAAGTGAGCGCAGGATATCGGAAATGTGGCGCCAAAACTGGCGTCTCCCGAGACCACCATCCCACCCCGTGTTCAACAATATACTGACAACTGTCACCGGGTACCCTGCCGGCGTTTTGCTCCTTCTTACTACGAGCACTTGCTACATTATTTGCCCTATCTTGCTTTGAAAAGTTTATACATAGGAAATGTACGTACACACATGGAAAACAACTATGTTCGAGTCCTGATTCTATATGTTTGCGTTGTGTGCACCGATTGCGCATATGTGCGCGTTGTCCGTAAAGACGCATCTTCATGGTAACGTGCCAATGCGTTAGCCTACAATAATAACTCATTTTCATAAATATATTCTTATTTAAATATATATAGAGCTGAATTTCGTGTAACATGAAAAGCTTATGTTCATTCAGAGACAGCGCTTTGGCTGAATTGCGCATGTCTGTTATAATCTGTGATCGTGGAACTACGAAACTATTACTGTCCTTATTTTTCTTTAAGTTTATATGCATCACATAAATGTTTTGAAATTTGTATGATGCTTATAACTTGGATTAGAATATATACTATTTTATTGCTTGGATACAGAACTTTATTACTTTTTACTAACTTTGATAGCATCTCCTGTGTTCTTGATATTTAGGGCTTTATTTCAAATTTACATCTTGGGATTACGTAAAATGCGAGGACATTCTGAACTTAGGATATTGTTGTTGCAATAACAATATTGTTATAATTCTAGTTAAACAAGATATTCGATGAATTATCACATTGGATTGAGTACTATTAGACAAAGTCATAAGTAGACATGTACTCTAAAAGATAAAAAAAACATCTTTAAATTATCTATTCCATAAGCATATTATACTATGCTGTATATATAGTTAAATAAGGGACTATATAATATTATTTTTACTGATTTATAAACTTTCCAACTGGTTCGTAAAGTCCGAAAGTTTTGAAGCTCTACAAATGACGCAAATATCTAGAAAATAAGGTCAATGTCACATTGGATAATTTCAAAATTATGGCAACGTTATTTATTTGATTCATAGGCTTTTTTATTTGCAGTGCTATCAACACAGGAGATCCAAATATCACGATTAGTAATCTTATTTTTATTTTTCACAAATCTATTTTTAATAGATCTATTTTTCAGATATTCCGCTACAAAGAGTAATATATGTAAATTCCAAAAATTATCTATGAATATTATTAATATTAATCTGTTTACGATTTTCATTGATGAATATGTTTATAATGTAAACCAATCTTATACCCTGTCACTAACAAACACGCGTTTAAAGTTGCCGACCCACAAAGTTGCCATCTCAAACTAAACAGACAAAACCAACGGATGGAGAAAATAATTTCCTTACAACTAAACATGATATTAACCGAGATAAGATGGCGGTACTCTTTTCGAGCAGGGGCGTTTATACAAAGCTATGAATAACGAATTTTACCCGAAGAGAGCCGGAGCCTGCAAACTTGACGTGGAAGTTTGTTCAAGTGCCCAAACTCACGAACAGTACCGGTCATGATGACTACTACCATACGAACTTCGAGTGGACTAAATAGGACAGCGGACTTGATAAAATTGTTATATACATGACATACATATGTAAGGATTGAAGAGAAAATAAATATATCGATACAAATGTTTTATACCTAATTTCTTTCTGCTAGTACATAAAAACCTCTAAAGCTTTTTTCGGAACTACTCTAATGCTGTTAACGGAGCTGGCTATTACAGCTTCCCCAGACAATAGAGAGCGACGGTAGATGACATTCAAACCCGCGGAACATGAAGTGGCTGAAGGCTAACTTTCAAGCATAGGGTTCAGAAATGAATTTTTTTCTTTGATCTACGTTTGTGGTTGGGGTTTGATCGAGAGACTCTTCGTGAAGATAGGTCGATATTATTAGTCTAGTTTTAATATCGCGGTAGCAGGATATATTTATTTTTATTATTAATAATGGGATTGCGCTTGGTTTTACCTCATTCTACGGAGATCGCATACAGTATTCGATATTAGTCGACAATAGTCGTATCAAAGTAAAAAAACATTTCGCATTCACTCTATATACATTGGACCCTATATACAGACAGCAACTGTCTTCTGTTGTCTATCTTTAAAAATTTTCTTTTCATGCTAATCTTGGCGTGTCAGTTACAAACCAAATGTCTAGCATTTTTTAAAATAAAGTTCTTTCACATACTCTTTTTAGTCATTGACATTTATTTGCATGATTTTTAATTAATTCTCTTTAATAATACTTTTCTCAATAATTGAAAGTATTCATGGCTTTCTAAGTAAACAGTCGAGTATTCTGCCGCTTGAACCGCCTTTATAGATGTCACTTTGTCACTTTGTCGTGGTTCAACCACCATAACACTTGTTAAACGTTATTAGTGCCATTCAATTGTCTTGTTTAACCCACTGTCCAATAATTATATTTGTAAACTGATTGCAACTACAATTTGGACTACATTCCTTTATTTTAAGGTACTATTTTACTTATATTTTTTTCTCCTGGCAACATATGGATATAACAGTCTTTGTCAGTTGGCTCTTATTTATTTATTGTTTTTAATTTATTATTTGTAAATAACGATAAGTACAAGTAGCACTTTAATAAACAGAGTTTGAGTTTGGTCATAAGTAACGTCGATTATTGTTGGTGTGCAAATCTGTGATTTCTTTGTGACAAAAATCTAGGTACAAAATTATTAGGACCGCCAACTGTCAGTATTGGTAATTACAATAGAAGTCTTGGATTTCTATTGACTCCTTTAATAATTAACTACAGTTATTACACTTCACTATTACTATATCCGTTTATAAATAAACAATAATATTAAAGTCAAATATTCGATAGTGAAGATCGGTTGTTGTTGTTGGGAGGAAAAAAAAAAAAAAACTGCCCACCTAACGCAAATATTATTGCAATAATTACAGCTCATAAAATTTTTTTATTATCATATTGATAATATATTCAAATAGTGTGCGAAACTAAACTTATGTATTTTATTAAATAACAATACAATATTAGTAATCCATAGCCATTGCTAGATATCATATGACAAATTAAGACATATTTACTGGTGGTAATATATAAGATTAATTATTTTTTTGTAACAGTATTGGTATTATTTGAGTTTTTACTAACAATATTTATTTATTTGTTATTATTAAATTATTTATTGTATTATTTTCATTGAAGGAAATAGCGCACTTTCAACACTGTATTTCTTCTGTGGAATAATATTCATTGTTGTCTTGTTTCGTAGATATTTAACATAATAATTAAAAATGATGTCCCAGGCATACAGTCTTGATGCTAAGCTCAAGGTGACACTCTTAAGTTAAAAAAATCCAATGAATTAAATAAGGCCTTGTGCAGGAACGAGATGAAAGTCGGATTGAAGTGGTTGATGTCTGATAAATGTATGTGGCTCTGAAGAATGACCTAGTGAAGATCAGTACAGACTTTGAAGTTCTACATATCGAAAAGCTTCAAGAAATTGTAAATAAAATGATCTTAGCAAGAGTTACATATGGAAGGTCAGCACGACCAGAAATCATATCATCTAGAGCGGCACCTTGAGAAGTTCAATCACAAAATAAATCTTTGTTGGATCACAGGCAGTTTATGGTGGTTATAACGGTTGTGGATCTGTATCTGAAAATGTTAAATGCTACTAGTGATCAAACATCTACTCTGCCCCTTGTGACCATAGATTTGACAAATTCACCAGAAGCTCCTATAGTCCTAATAAAGTACCTATTAGTAGTAGTAGAGAAGTTAAAAAAATATGTAAAATTAAATAAGCTAAATTTATTCGAAAATCAGAAAATTTAGTGAAAAGTCATAAAGAGTGTTTAAATCAATTATTACCCAAGGAAAACAAAAAATTGACATCAATGAGGTGTCTGAATAATTTGTAAAGAAAAAATATATAACAAAGATTTAGAAATGAATGAATTATCACAAAAAATTAAACTATTAGAGAACTCGTTGTCCAATTTATCTTTGAAATACGAATCAGCTAAGAATGAAATACATGAATATTCTGATCAGTTGGATAATTTAATAAAATTAGGTAACTACAACATGGAGCGGTTTGTTTCTCTTACGGGTAGATGTCACTGTGATGAGTCCATTAACACAACAACTCAAACATCCACCATAATCAGTTGGTCGTTGATATCTCATCCGTCACGGAACCAGACGTTTCATGTTTACTTACACACGAAACAGTACAAAGTAAATAAATGCAGCGCGTACGTGAGCCATCAGAACAATTATTTATTCAGATGAATTTGACAAGGATTTGAGTGGTTGTACATCGAACTTTCTCATAATAAGTAATAAATAATTGTTTTCCGGGTTCAGGTATATAAGATTATAAAAAATATAATGAAAATACGAAAAATATGATGTTCACACGACCCTAGTAATAGCGTTAGGGGAATTTGTTTGCATGTACGTAAATCTGATATAGTTAATTTAATAAAATCATTATTTTAATATGATGGAGCTTGGTATAGGTAGTATTGTTATGCGCATTTCCCTACTCTCAATCCCTGACTATTGAACAGATAGTTCATTTTCATTATAAATAATTTAATTTAATCAGTGACGCCATTCATAATGGTCTTTATTTTGAAAGTAACAAATTTGTTCCTAAATTATTATATGACGGGGTAATTTTTTTGTCTTACCTAAAAGTAAAAAAAGACATTGTAGTTTACTATTATAACATTATAGTCCATTATGAATGCGATATATGGATTTAATTGATAATATTAGTAATTATACTAATAATGTTTAATATGTTAATTAAAACGCATCTACGACATTGATTGACACGAGATGT